AGTGGGCCGCGGACGCTGTCAGACAGGTGCGTAAAGGAAGGGCGCCTTCCGTTTCCTCTCTAGGACTCTCGGAGGCCGGTGCGTCTCTGTGGTCGCTCGTCCCCGGGGACCGTGCAGGAGCGCGCGCTGGAGCAGCAGGGGCACCTCCCGCGCTAACTGCGCCCCTCAAGGCTCGCGGTCGCCAGGGCCCTTTACTCCTCCATGCCTTTACACCTGCTTTCCCTCTGTAAGAACGACCTTCCAGACACACCGTTGGACCCAGCGCCTCCCTCCAGGGGCTTTAGAGCCCAGTCAGGGTCAACACGTGTTTATTCCGCGCCTCTGTTGCTTGGTGCGAGGTTTAGGGGCGGAGTGTTCGAAGGGAAGCACCGAGTCTTACCGGTTCACATAAAAAAGGCCGCGACCCCAAGTAGTGTGTGGGGGCAGGGGGTGGTCGGGAAAGGCTTCCTGAAAGAGCCGGCACCTGAGCTCAGATTTGATGGGTGGGGTGGACCAAGAAGTGAGGTCAGAGTGCCCCAGCAGAGGAAGCACGACGAGCCCAGCGAGCCGTGAGGATCGATGGCATTGCCACCCCATCACAGCCACTGGAGCGGGCGGCTGAACTTGGTCATTCGGGTGGTAACCTGGAGGCGATGGGAAGCGGCGGGAAGATTTAAAGGCGGGGAGGGACAGATTTTAGAAAGATACTAAGAGAAACCTGCGAGAGAGACTGAGCAAGAGGAGAGGGAGGTGGGGAAATGAGAAGATGACTGTAGGTTTAAGATGAGGCTAGATACTGCAGTCCAAGGGAGAAAGGATGAGAGACAGAACCGGGGCAGTCGTGAGACTAGAGACTGTAAGGAGGGTTTGGGTATGAAACCTACTTGGGAAATAAAATTGGCAAGGTTTGAGGATTGATTGGATGCGGAGGATGAGAGAGAAAGTGGGATAATTTAGTAAATGACAAAGGCCACATTCTCATATTAATAAGAATTGACTTTTAAAAAGCAGACAACTGGTTGGTTATCTGGAAGAAGGTAACACTGGGTCCATTCCTTATACCACAAGCCAGGGCACAATCCAGCCATGTTCACAGAGTCTCACATTCTTTTATATTACCAATTACATTATCAACCCATCTTGGAAATAGCGTCGGATGACCTCCTCATTCACTAACATGCCCTCACATCCAAGAGGGTTGAGGCCAAACCTTACCATCCAGGGCCAAGAGAAACAGCCCGACTGGCTCAGACAATCTGTCTTGGAAGAATGAATTATACCCAGCGCTATCAAAAACCATTATTCACCTTGCCATGGAGAAGACATAGGGAAGAGGGCATTCTGGAAGAGGGAGAGAGATTGGATCAGATCACATGTTTCCAGATCAGCCTTGGAGAAGAGAAATGGGATTCTCTGAATTGGGAAGAAAAGAACCAAAGATGGGTGATGGTCTAGGTTAGGGCTCAGCAAACTTTTCCTGTGAAGGGCCAGATAGTAACTACCGTAGGCTTTTCAGGACGCATAGTCTGTCACCTGTTCTTCATTTTTACAATCCTTTAAAATTGTAAGAACCATTCTTAGCTCACAGCCAGGGCTGGATTTGACAGAAGAACTGTAGTTTGCTCGCCTCTGAAGTTGATTAGTTTAAAATTATTCTAGAGAAAGCTTTAAGGAGTTCATTCTTAACCAGATAAATTCTGACCTCATGCTCCTAGCCCTGAGAGACCAGTTGATAACTGAGGATTGCCAGGGAAATGGCACTGTCCGAAGACAGATTTCATGAAGGTGAGCAAATGAAGGCATTTTTTTCCTAGCAAAGAACATGGTACGGAATGAATGGAGAGCATTGTAGGGGCAAGAAAAAAGAAGGGAAAAAGGGAGGAAAGGAAGGAGAAAGGGACAGAGATACAGAGGGAGAGAGGAAGAAAATCATTAGACAAGAGATAGAGAAGAGATGAGGGTAAAAGATGAGATATAGACAGTGTCATGACCATAGAAAGGAAACAGGAGAAAAGGCAGCAGAGTTCACTTTAAAAATTTAAAAACCTGTACTGAACATCAGAGGGCTTGGGTATCAGGCCCGGCATTGGAGTAAATAATTCACCTCTCTGGCTCTTTAATAAAAAAATGGGTAGCACTATACCTGGCCTATCTTTAGCAGAAATGGTAGGCATGAATACTGTTTTAGCCTTAACTATAGAAATGAAGGTTATAGGAGGTCATAGTGCTGATGTGGACAGTTTTGGATATTTGACTTTTATTACCCAACTTACCCTTTAAGATTTAATATGAATTTTTATCTAATTCAATACATTTACATGATTCAATAGTATAAATATAAACTCATATAAAAAGCTACACACAGAACTATTACTCCTGCCTCTGCCCACGCCACCCACCCCATTCCCTAACCTACCCTCACCTCTAAAGATCAATTAGTTTATTATACGGTCTTCAAGTGTTTATTTATTTATAAATACTAATATTCATATATTCTATTTTCTCCTCCTTTCTAACACAAAAGGAAGGACAGTAGGCACCTTGCTTTTTATCGTGTAATATGTCCTAGAAAAGATTCCGTATCAGTACATACAGGCCTTTCTCTTTCTTCTTTTTTAAAGCTGGTGTGGATGTAACAATACTTTATTTAAAGTATCCCCTGCTGATGGACATTTGAGTTGCTTCTAATCATTTGTTATTATAAATGCAGCAGTAATTAATAACCATGCACCTATGTCATTTTTAAATATGTGTGCAGGTTTATCTGTCAGATAAATTCTTAAATGGAGACTTTGGGCAGGATTAAATCATATGGCTTCTTCAGTTTTGTAGATACCGCCAGATTCCCCTCAGTAGGGCTGCATCACTTTGCATTTCCATCCACAATGTATGATGGTGCCTGTTTCCTGGTCATTTGGCCAACACAGTGTGTTGCATCAAACTTTGGATTTTTGCAAATCTTATAGGGAGAAATGGCATTTTGGTAGAGTTTTCTCCATGTTTTGAAAATTCTGCACTTCTTTTCTTCCAGTTTCTTTAACACATTAATAGAGTTTAATCATAGATTGTTTTATTACAATTTTATTGTAATAAATTGTTTATTGTAATTTTTTGTAATTGTAATAAACAATTATTACAAAATTTATTAATATAAAATTGTTTGAAAGTCGGTGTCAGCTAACCCCAGTATTTGGGTCACTGTGGCATCTGCTTCTATTGGTTGTTTATTCTCTTGTCAGTCACATTTTTTGCATGTCTAGTAATTCTGCACTGTATGCCAGTATTCATGCATAAGGGAAGTAAAGAGGCTCCCGGACTTCCATGATGGGGCCGGGCTTTGTTCCAGAGTAAGTGTCTATTCCAGTTAAAAAAAAAAAACAAAGCTCTGCCTCATCATGGAAGAAGTTGATATCGTGTACCAATTTTCCTAAGTAAACGTTACTCCTTTCCATTAGGCTCATTTTCAAGGGAACTTTATTTCAGGAAAAGTTTCTTGAATTTTAGTTTTAAATATTTGTTTTGTCCTTTATTTCTATTTTTTTCCCCCACCTGCCCCGGGTCCCCACCCATGGCCCCTGTTTTTCTGTGTTCTTCCCTCAGGACTCCTATTTTACATATTCGATCGCCTTTACCTGTCTTTTTATAGCTCTCTTCCACTACACGCCAATCTTTTCATTTCCTCATTTCATTTTCTTCATTTTTATTATTTTCATCCTTTATGTCTTACTGTCCTGGTATCTGTTCTCTCTGGTGCGTCTTGTATTCAGTCTTCATTTCTGACTTTCTCCAGTTCTTTCTTGGATTCTATCAGTTCCCATTTCCTGTCTTCCTATTATCTGGCCTCACCTTCCATTGTCAGGGCATTTCTTCCCAAAGTTCCTGTAATTCTGCTTTGTGGGATCCCCCCCTCTGCCCCCAGCTGCAATTGCTTTATAAGTTTTCTAGTTTATGTTGGATTATAATTCCTCCACTTTGTGGCAAGTTTTCCACTGAGTTTTCTTCACATCCAGACTTTCACTTGCCTTTCTGCTTTTTCTTATAATACCTTTGTGTTGATACTGCGGTTTTAGTCGTAGCTGAGTATGTTTGATTTTCCTGGACCAGCCATTTTCAGGGGGGTACTGTCGAGGGGCGCTGTCGGGTGGGTAGGCAGAGCACTCCATGTCTTGGCGCAGGGGCTCTTCCTTCCACTGCTTCACTGAGGGATTCTTTTTGAATATGTAGCTCCGCACGTAGCCAGGATTCCCAATTCTTCTGTCCTGACTTGGCTCAGAGGGCTTGTAGCAC